ATGACTTCACCTTCGGTGAGGTCATCTCCATATAAAACTTCAAGGAGCCTGAAATGGTGTTAGCTGGGGTTTTTCTCCACATGGGGGTTCTCTGTTTCATGTTAATAAGCTCCGGGGTATCTGTGGGAGCATCTTCAGGCAAATGCGAGCATAGAGTCGGCTCTTCAGTGTCGCTTTTGGTGATGGAGCACTGAACATTTACATGACTATTTTGCTGGGTGCAGTTGTACTACACAATGTGAGAAAGCCAGGATGTAGGAAAATATCATTACTACATTAGATGCCCCTTCTGGGCATCTGTTGACATGCCCACATGGCTAGCAATTTTTAATATTTCAGAACTCGTAATAACCAGCCCCTTTCCTTCTGCAAAGACTGAAGAGACCTGCCGAGCATTCATCAGCCAGCGGCGTGGCTGGTGGCTGAGTGAGTCAGTAAGCAGCGTCCAGTGGGCACATCGTAGCTAATCACCCTTGTTCCCTCTGATGTATGTTATTTCTTAAATAACAAGTGGGGACTCAGCAGGCAAAGGAAGGGGACAAGCCTCTGGCATTCAGTGCTCATTAGAAGAACAGTATGCCCTGCATCAGTGTTTGTCTGAGCAAAATATGTTTGCTCTCAATTGATGGAAGCAGAGCTGGATGGCACAGTGGGGGATATACTGAGAGTCCCTTGTCTGTGTCTTCAGAATGTGTGGGCTCAAAAAAATAGAGGGTTCCCTAATCTAAGGACTTTTGCCAAAGAGGTAGAAAGGCTTGGGAGAGCTGCTTCAGCCTGGATGCACGTTTCAGATGCTTGCTCAAGGTTCTTTGGAACTGTACTGATTTCTTTTGATGTAAAGTAGTAAACCAATACTATTTTGTGTAGAGATTTGGAGTGTAAAGTTTGATGGCTTAAGAGAGACAAAGAAAGTACCTGTATCCAGTTATTCTTTCCCCCTGGAAAGGGCTTGTTCTCATATTCTTTCAAGGACTATTCTACACATTATGATTGCTCTCTGGGTTTCACCCAAGTTTCCTGCAGCAAACATAAAAAGTTGGCATACATATAACTGTGTCTGGAAACCTGGCCCATACAGGTGCATCTGTTTGCTTTTTGCTACAACTGTAAAATGTGGGGATACCCTTCTTTTCACATTAATGACTTAGTGTTAAGAAGTCGCCACTGTCAGATCATTGCCAGGAGTGTCTGGGTCACGTTCAGCTGAATGAACAATAAGCAGAATGCCACAAACACACAGTGGCGTCGGGGAGACCACACAATGTTGTTACTTTCGTTCCTTTTGCCTTTGGGAAATGAGGGCAGCCCTCCAGGCTGTCAGGGTTACACAATCCATTGTATTCTACAATAGCTACCATGGCTACAGCCTTCTTGATGACATGGAAGAAACACAGGTAGCACAGTATTTCATTGATTTGACTCTTTAAACCAGGACAAAATTGCTCCACCTAGATCAAAAGAGGTGTGAAAAGAGAAGAAGCAACACTCTATTGCACTAATCATGGAGAGGAGGTCAGTTCTTTAAATCGGGAGGCAATCCAGCCCTTTGTGGTATTCAGCTTCAGATAATCTTCTTTACCCTTTTCCTGCACAGGTCAAATGATCTTGCAGTTGCTCCTTAATATATTCAGCTTTTTTCTTTAAAGCCAGTGTGGCATGCCAAGGATAAGGAACTATCCTATTCTAACAGCAGGGTTAAAGCAGCTTACCCCAAAGGTCAATCTATAGGTAAGGAGTGATGAACCCTTTCCACCTACCCCATGGTCCCCATAAAAACCACCCCCTCCAACATTTTAGAATGGGGAAAGAGGGAATGTGCCCACTCAACTACAAAGTGGTCTATGGATCGCAGAAGTCTGGAAGCAACGTTGCTGCCATAACAGTTGGGTACAGTAAAATCATCCACATCTGAAAGCACTGTGTGTCTTTTTGTTTGGAGATTTGGAGTTTGTTTGTTTGTTTGTTTGTTTTTGGTGTTAATGTCTACACAGGGAAAGCAAATTCTGGGCCTTTGACCCAACTGAGTCTGGTAGTCATCACCTGTGAAAGGTGAGCAATGCAATGCCAAGTCACCCTGGGTTAATTTCTGCACAGGGCTTATGGGAGCATGATGGCTGCCATGTTGACTATGCAGTCAGCAGTGGTATGCTCATGGCTTGCCGTGATGTGCTGACCTGGCTTCCTGTGTTGTTTGAGGCGGCAGACCATCCTCAGGTAAACCAGAGTTAGTTTTAGGGTTACTTGCGGTTCTCTGCCTCTCAGACAGCATGAAGTTCAATGGTCATGGCAAACCCTGGCAAGAAAGGTGCACCCACAAGCGCCTTGCGAACGGGGTGTCCACAGACACCTGGCACTTGGTATGACCACCTCTGTGGCTAAATTAAGCCACAATGGGCTGTCATATCATGTGAACAGGGTCAGTGGGTTCTACAGTGTCCTCTAAATTATATACATGCTAAATATATATGTAAGCAGTTCTTGTTCTTTTTTCAAACATTTACTTTCCACTGCTTCAGGTAATTGCCACTAGCCTGCCAGATAATTCCTCTGATTTACCAAGGAGTGTCCCTGTATATCTGTGAAATGTTAGAGGACATGCAGTAGCCAGCTTTGCTTCCCCACTTTTTATGTTTACTGTTGTGCCCTTTTTTGTTTTGGGGTTCTTCCAGCAAAGCTTTTTATCTATATGTAAGCAGTTCTTGTTCTTTTTTCAAACATTTACTTTCCACTGCTTCAGGTAATTGCCACTAGCCTGCCAGATAATTCCTCTGATTTACCAAGGAGTGTCCCTGTATATCTGTGAAATGTTAGAGGACATGCAGTAGCCAGCTTTGCTTCCCCACTTTTTATGTTTACTGTTGTGCCCTTTTTTGTTTTGGGGTTCTTCCAGCAAAGCTTTTTATCTATTTATCCCACTATTTTTTTTAACAAAGAACTCAAAGCGACTTACACCATTCTTCTCCTGCTCTCAGTCTTATCCCAACAACAACCCTGTGAGGGAGGTTGGGCTGAGAGTGTGTGACCGGCCCAAAGTCACCCAGTTGCCTCCATGGCTGAGCAGAGACTAGAACCCAGATTACCTTAAGTCCCTGTCCCGTGCTCTTCACCGCTACACCACACTGGCTCCCACACTGGTTTTTATGGGGCTCTGTACATTTTTCAAACATAGCCAGTTTTATCACCTTTTATTGTAACTGCCCCCCCACACCATTTCATCCATCTCTTTTCTTACTCCCCCTTAAAAAAATAAGTAGGGAAAGGCAGAATAACTACCTAGTGCCTTTAGATTGGTCGCTCTAGGACAGTGGTGGGCAATACATGGTTGATGTACTACTTTCCTCCGCCCGGCAATTTTTTCAGTCTCAGCTGTGCTTCCATGTCAATGAACAAACTGCACCGGTAGTAAAAATGTGACAAATATTACAATGGCTTTGCAGGGAAACACAAGCGTGCACGGAGCATGCATTTTATTTGCAAACAGAATCATGCTCCCAGAGGTTTTGTGGAAGTGCATCCTGCTTGGAAACACAATCTCTGCATGCCTTGTTCCCCAGCAAATTCCCTATAGTCTTGGCCACCACTGCAAATCCCATGGGACTGAGGCAAATGCACATGCTTTCTGTACACACAGCTGATTGGGATTTGGAGGAGATGAAACAGAAAGGTGGGATTTTTGGTACTTGTATTTCTTATGACTTGCTACTGCTCCTATCACGGCCCTGTTTCACATCACATCAGCTATTTCTGGGTTGTTTAATCCATTTGCCCAGGGACAAGCAAATCTTGAGCTGCATATTCATAATTTTCACTTTCAATTAACATCTTTTTCCTGAGTTATTTTGTGATGGCCAAACCCAGAAACTGTTGTCGTTTACCCTCTAAACAACTCAAGAGTTTCTGTGTTCACCCAACACAAAACAACTTACTGAATTATTAACTGAGAAATGGAAACAATGTGTGAGTGGTACACAGTGGGCTCACCACTTTATTTGTCCTCAATAATTCTTGGGTTAAACAATCCAGGAATTGCCACAACAATGTGTGAACCAGGTCAGCATCTGCTAAACTTGCACACAAAAATAGCTTAGTATAAAGTATTCAGAAATTTTTAGTGGAATCTCTTCCAAAAGAACTGAAGCCTCTAAGGGCTGTGTTATCCAGTGATGGGTCAGTCTGAGGAAGCCAGAATTACTTTCCTTTTCAAACCTTAATAAACTGCATTCTAGGGTATCATATGAGATGTTACTTTTGCTTGGGAAAGCCATATTTCTAGATTTATAAATGGCTCTATTCCAAAAGCTGGTGGACAAACCCAAAGCAGAATAATATTTCAATTTGATTTATTAAATCCCAATTTTATGCTAAGCTTCAAAAGTTAGTCTAAACAGGTTCATCTTGCAGTGCTTTGGAAAAGCTCGAGTTTTGGCAGGTCTGCAGTGCAAGAGAATCGCATACTTTGGGGTCAACCCTCAAGGACCCCTTTCTTCATGCCTTTGCCAAATCAATCTGATGCAGTGATGGCTCTGTGAAAAAGAGTCTGCAATGGATCACAAAGAACATGATCAGATAAGCAGAGGTGATATCTAAAGTATGTAAGGTCTAAGATATTAATAGGTTGTAGCCTGCACCTAGAATTTTCTTCAGAAAGGGTTTTCTGTGTGGATGTCTGACTTGTGAGTAGCGTAAGCAGAAGTCATTGCTGGAGTGTTCAGACTATACGTGCAAGTAAAAAAGTTGTGGCAACTGTAATACTACTTGGCACAAGGCTATTGCTTCCACTGTAACAGTCCAACATGGCTTCTTTGGAAGTAATCTTGTGATATTCAGCTGAGTCTATATGTATATGCCTATGTGGAGAGAGAGAGAGAGATCAGCAGAGATTACTGAAACTCTGAGTTCTCTCCTCTTGCTCTTGTCTTGACCTTCTTCTGCAGACACAAACCATTTCCCCCTTTTCCTGTTGTCTCTGATTCTTAACATGTATCTGCTATAATTTGCAGCTGGAAGTTCTTTTGGTGGAGATGCAGGATCCAAATTCTGGCATCAAAATGCACGCTCAGAAAGTCATGGTCACTGACATCCCTCATGCTATGACTGGTAAGTCTGATGGAAGCAGGCAACGGAGGACGTCACCAGAGAGTTAAGGTGCAAACTCAAGCATGCTTAGACTGCAAAAGCTCTCTCGTTCCTAGTGTTCCTCAGCCAGCCTGGTTGCATGCCTAGTACTGCGAACTTAATTTCCTTCATGTGGTATTCATAAGCACTTTATCTCCTTGCATTAATGTTGCCAGGGCTGTTGCAATAGCTTATTCCTCCTGCTAAGGGAGATGCCCCAAAAGCTGTTGAGACCATCATCCTGACACCATGAAGAAAGGAAATCTATAGTAAGAGTTTTTTAAAAATCCCATAGATAATTTTATTTATGATTTATTTAATTAAATCATGCACATCACATGGGTTAGTGCAAATAGTTGCATCTGAATGCCATACATTCTATTGTTTATTTGAATCTTTACATAATAGAACTAAAGAATTATCCACTTTAAAAATATTTTTCTGAAGTTAAGCAGTTTCATAATACGATTTTTTTTTTAAAAGCGTATGATCATCAAGACCCTAAAGAACAGCAGAAGCTGCAAACCTGTCCAATCCTAGACATGTCTATGAGGAGTAAGTCTTACCAAGCTCAGTGTGGCTTACTTCCAGGGAAATAGGTACAAGACTGTGGTCTAAGCCTACTTCTAATGCTTGTAAATTCCAGCTTTCTGTCTTTGAACTACCGAATAAGTTGCAGGCAGGCAGTGGTGCTTTGATATCTTGAACCCGTCAGTAGAGTCTGCTGCAACAAATATGCTCTCCTTTGCTGCCAGCCAGCTATGTTCACTCAAGACAATGTGGGAAAAATACTGTAAACATCTTTCTTATACAAAATACACACAAAGAGCACACTGTAAGCGCTTCGCTACCTTTTCCTCTTCTTGTATGCAGAGCTGTCCTTCAAGCCAGTTGAAATAGGCAAGCCCAAGAGCTTGCGAAAATCGTTACAATGGTTCTGTGTGGCTTACGATGCCATTATGAGGAGAGGTTTCACTGCCTTGATCTTTCTAATCCAGGAACTCAGCGCTTACCAATTGTTTGGAAAAGCTCTGTACCTGGAAACAACAATCTTTGACTGTAGCTGTGACTTGCACTTCAAATTGCTTCTCGAGATGGATGAAAATGTAATATACAGAATAAGCATATCTATACTCCCTTCTGAGCTAATTATTAGGAAAATGACAAGTCAGTCAGCTGGTATGTTTGAAAGCAAATGTTGGCATGACTTAGATTCATTTTGAAGACTGAGTACACAGAAATACAAATCAATCGATTTCAGAAGAGGGTGATCCCCGGCATGCTGATATGATAGTTGCTGGGAGATATTCGTTTTCTTTGAGCATCATTCCTCTGGGTGTATACACGTACAGAGAATGTTCAAAATTTGGTAAATGCTGGCATTTGTTTGTGAATGTCGCTACTCACAAATAAATGACTATAAGGGCACGGTTTTACACATCTAAACTTGCATGGGATTGTACTCTAAGGACAGAATCCTAGTCATGTTTAGAGAGAAAAAGCCCCACTGTTCTCAGCATTCCCCATGCTAATTGTCTGTCTAAACACGTATAGAGCTACACCCAGAGGGCACAATCTGATGTCCTCCATCCTTGGTGCATGGAAGCTTTTGAACATGGAGTCTTGCTTGTGTCTAATGTAAGACAGGAGGAGGAGGAGGAGGAGGAGGAGGAGGAGGAGCAGCAGCAGCAGCAGCAGCAGCAGCAGCAGCAGCAGCAGCAGCAGCAGCAGCAGCCTTGATTGCCATGTGCTTTGTGCCAGTGTTTCATCTAGGCAGCTCTATCCAGCTTACTAGATGAGGTGCTAGAGAGCAGAAGGGAAGAAGCATCGTTTGGACATGGCATAACCTGTTAGCCCCAGTTTCCTCCCCTCCGGGCCCCCCAGCACATGCCTTTAGCCCTCCTCTCAGCCCATTGCTGACCTTGGACAGGAAGCTGGTGCAGTTCTGCAAAGGGGCTGGGGAAGGGGCTTTGCCTTCAGAGACCCAGCTATGAGGCTGTAGGGCTTTGGAGTCAGGACTCTGAATAATCCTGTGTCCCTCCTGGGCTGTTCTTTTAGAGCCATTTTCCCCTTGTAGCCATCCTAAGTGTCTTAAATATGCTCATCAATGTTAAGAGTTACCTAAATATGATTGTTGAGAACTACTGAGCATTTTAAAATTAGGGAAATTGGGAGTGATCACACAAAATGTATTCATTTACTTGCTTCATATTTTGCATGTTGCCCTGGGGCAGCTCGCATATTAAAATAACAGCAACATTCATCTGGGTCAGTCATTTCTCACATGAGGATGTCAACACTAATTGAACTTGGAGCATCTGTAACATACGAAATCAGTCAAGTGCAGTCATCGTAGTCCTGCCAGCAATGGATTCTGCTGCTTTGATTATGATGACCGAAAAAGGGGTTTCTCTGTATTTAAAGAGGAGGGAAGCTCGAATCTCATAGGGCATCTTTTTTGCTTTAAAAACAGGAACACCTTCACTCATGTTAGGTCGAAGGTAGCTGAGATTTCCTCAGGATTCTCTGCAAGACGCATCATCTCCTCTTAAGGGAGAAGACCAGGCACAAGTTGAGCAACTTAAGTCAGGTCTGAATGACAGGCTAATCTTTTAATTTTATCTATTTCAGGAAGCGGTGGGTAGGGCTAAGAGCTCCTGAGTGCTGAGCCAAGTCTCAAGCAATCAGTGTAATGTCAGGAAAGGTCAACATTTTAATCTGCATCTTGACAGCCTTTGGAGATGAAGATTACAACCTGCTTTGTGAATTGGTGCACTCCTAACGCCTTGCCCTGTTTAAAACATATGCTAAAATGCTGACTGCAGAGTAAGCTGGCAAGGCTGGGAGCAGCTTAATGTCTGATTCATGAATCCTCTAGCACTAATGGTCAATTTAGTAAATGCAGGATAAAAGCTATCCTCTCCTTTTTGTTGCTTTAAAAAACCCCTAAGAAACAAAGGATTTTGTATTTACCATATAATTTCCCTCCACATCCGCAATTTTGCCACTCCACACCGTGGGCATCTGCTCATAGGGGCAGAAGGGATCGAATTCCTTGCCCCACTCCCGATGCCATGCACAACACGTCTGAAAGTGGTAAAAGCAGCTGCTGAGTTGTGCCCATCCCATCCACCCCTGCTTTCAGTTTCCAGCCAGGGTGGGCAGTGTGGGTGTGCTGGGGGGCACCTTGAACGCAGGAGCATCTCACAAGGCACGGGAGTGGCAGCAGCACAACCAGGTTCCTCAGGGTCAAGTTAGCTCTCTCTGGAGAGGGGCAACAGGGCCTTGTGCAGCACTTGTCCAGCTGCCTTTCTGTGCCCTGCAACATGATAGACGGGAGACTCTGCAAAGGAAGGGCAGTAAGCGAAACCTGGGGTACGGGAGAGCTGGGATTCTGCAGATGGTGGCTGCAGTGCAATGGACCTGGAAAAGGCAGCCCGGAGTGCTTTCTGGCAGGCCCAGGCAGGCAGTGCCATGACCTGTTAGCGCCTGCCTCATATGGCAGATGGACAGTATTATGCTAAAAGACTGACAGCTGGGTGAAGTTCTAGAATCAGCAAGGACAGGAGAGCTAAAGTCCATGCGGTCGTAAGACTCGGGCATGACTTCGCGACTAACATAACACATCTTTTCTTACTGGCTCAAGCTCCTCTTTTTTCCAGCTGGCTTGGTTCCTCTAATAATGGCCGACAGCTTTCAGAGCTCATGGAGCCAGGCAATACAAGCCAAATTGCTATTATACAGTTATTCATGGCCAGCTATCTCCTTGATGGGCTATGAACGGGCAGAACTTAAACAGTGGGCCATTGATCTAGAACTACAAGCAGATTATCCAGTTTTATCCAGAAATAACTTCCTGAACCATTCCACACATCTTCTCCAACCAGCTAGATATCTCAGCAGCATAACTATCCCCAGATTTAGAAGAGCTTTATCTCTAGCCAGATTCAATGTCCTCCCAACAGCTATTACTGAAGGGAGATATTAAAAAAACACCCCTTGAACAGAGACTGCGCCCATGTGGGGGAGAAATAATTGAATCACTGAAGCATGTTATTCTTTACTGCCCTCTCTATACAGCTGCTTGCCCGGAATTGTTATCCCCACTCCTTTCTAAATATCCCGGTTACTCCAATTCTTTTTACCTTAAGTTACTTTTAACTGATCAATCCGATTTTATCTCCTTGACTACTGTACAAATATTGTTCGGTGGTTTGTACAGTGCACAGTAGAATTGACCCTAAATGTTGTTAGATTCTACCAGAATGCTTTTACTTTCTTATTTTAATTACTGTAATTTTATCAGTATTGTATATTATTTTTAACTAAGTGTCATTTTGTGTTTTATTTATTGGTTGACTGAATAAAGGATTGATTGATTGATTGATTGATTGACAGTATTATGCGGGGCTCTCTCATCCGCTGACTGTGATTACATAAATCACCAGCTTCCCATCCTGTTCCACCTGGCATGGACTCTGAGTGACTAATGGAAAGGGAGAGATGTCCCATTAGGGAACAGCCATTCCAAATTTCATCTGTATCCACTGGAAGGGGCAAGGAGGGGCAATTGACCCCCTGTGGATAAGCCATAATCTCCAGATTCCTGACTTTCATTAAAAAAGCCCCAAGTATCTAGTCCTTATAAAACCCAAGACAGGAAATAAAATGTGCAGTTAGTATTCTATGTGTTTGTTTGGTGAGAAATGAAACTGCTCTTGCCTTTTAGTGTTCGAAGTGAGGAAAGAAGTCTCAGCAGTGGCTGTCCCTTGCATCTGGGTGTGTGAAAGCTTTTTGGAGTCTTCCATGTTAGGGAGTTGCTGCAGCCTCATAAAGCATTTTAGGAACCCAGGCATTTGCATAGCTGGATTTGGGCAGCAGGAAAAGTGAGAAACAAAAGATGTAAGTGAACTAATGTTCATCCAGGTCTTGTGGATACACTTTCTGAGTTATAAACATTTAAAAAGTCACCTTGACCAGGT